CCAAGCATACAATCGGAACATTTTCGTATTATTACAGTGTTTCTGGTGATTTTATCTGCAAAATAAGTGACCATGGGCCCCAAGAAAGCTTCTAGTGCCAACACTACAGCAATAAGGGTGAGAATTACTATAGAGATGAAGAAAGAGATCATTGAAAAGTATGAAAGTGGAGTGCGTGTCTCCGAGCTGGCCAGGTTGTATAGTAGACCCCAATCAACCATCGCTACTATTGTGGGCAACAAAAAGGCAATCAAGGAAGCTGTTCTTGCCAAAGGTTTAACTGTGTTTTCGAAACAGAGATCGCAAGTGATGGAAGATGTTGAGAGACTCTTATTGGTGTGGATAAATGAGAAACAGATAGCAGGAGATAGCATCTCTCAAGTGATCATAAGTGAAAAGGCTAGGAAGTTGCATCAGGATTTAATTAAAAAAAATGCCTGCAACTAGTGACGATGTGAGTGAATTTAAGGCCAGCAAAGGTTGGTTTGAGAGATTTTAGAGGCCTAGTGGCATACAGTGTGATAAGGCATGGTGAGGCTGCCAGTTCAGACCACAAAGCAGCTGAAAAATATGTGCAGGAATTCAAGGAGTACATAGAAACTGAAGGACTGAAACCTGAACAAGTGTTTAATTGTGATGAAACAGGCCTGTTTTGGAAGAAAATGCCAAGCAGGACCTACATTACTCAGGAGGAAAAGGCACTCCCAGGACATAAGCCTATGAAAGACAGGCTTACTCTGTTGATGTGTTCCAATGCTACTGGTGATTGCAAAGTGAAGCCTTTATTAGTGTATCACTCTGAAACTCCCAGACCGTTCAGGCAAAAGAATGTCCTCGAGGAAAATTTGTGTGTGCTGTGGAGGGCAAACAGTAAGGCATGGGTCACTAGGGACTTTTTCTATGACTGGTTACACCATGCATTTGCCCCCAATGTGAAAGATTACCTAACTGAAAAGAAATTAGAACTTAAGTGCCTCCTGGTGTTAGACAATGCCCCTGGTCATCTTACAGACGTGGCAGAGCGACTTTATGGGGACATGAAATTCATTAAGGTGAAGTTTTTGCCTCCTAATACCACTCCTTTCCTGCAGCCCGTGGACCAGCAGGTTATTGCAAACTTCAAAAAACTGTACACAAAAGCTCTGTTTGAAAGGTGCTTTGTAGTGACCTCAGAAACTCAACTGACTTAAGGAGAGTTTTCGAGAGATCACTTTAATATCCTCAATTGTGTAAACCTTATAGGTAAGGCTTGGGAGGGAGTGACTAAGGGGACCTTGAACTCTGCTTGGAAGAAACTGTGGCCAGAATGTGTAGACCAAAGGGATTTTGAAGGGTTTCAGGATAACCCTGAGAATCCTATGCCAGTTGAGGAATCCATTATGGCATTGGGAAAGTCCTTGGGGTTGGAGGTTAGTGGGGATGATGTGGAAGAGTTGGTGGAGGAGGACAATGAAGAACTAACTACTGATGAGCTGATAGATCAACTTCAACAGCAAGAGGCCAGACCTGAGGAAACTGGTACGAAGGAGGGGAGAGAGAAATTGAAGAAGTTGCCTACTACAAAGATTAAGGAAATGTGTGCAAAGTGGCTTGAAGTGCAAACCTTCATGGATGAAAATCACCCTCACACAGCTATTGCAAGCCGTGTTGACATGTCAGCGGATGGATGTATGAAGGATAAGGCTAACCATAGAATTGATGGAGGAAAAAAGGTGAGTGGTGCATTGAGGTATATGTGGAGACAAAAAACATTATCTATGGAGGCAAAGAAGGGAATGTATGGAAGTATAGTGGTACCAATACACTTTTATGGGTGTGAAGCTTGGGTTGTAAATGCTGCAGCGAGGAGGTGGTTGGAGGCAGTGGAGATGTCCTGTCTAAGGGCAATGTGTGGTGTAAATATTATGCAGAGAATTCTGAGTGTGGAAATTGGGAGGTGTGGAGTTAATAAAAGTATTAGTCAGAGGGCTAAAGAGGGGTTGTTGAGGTGGTTTGGTCATTTATAGAGAATGGATCAAATTACAGTGGACCCCCGCATACCGTCGGCATCACATAACGTACAATCCGCATACCGCTCGGTTTTATCGCAAAAATTTTGCCTCGCATACCGCTCAAAAACCCGCTCTTCGTCCGAGACGCGTCCAATGTGCGCCCTTAGCCAGCCTCACATGTGCCGCCGGTGGCATTGTTTACCAGCCAGCCTCCGCTGTAACATCCAAGCATACAATCGGAACATTTCGTATTATTACAGTGTTTTTGGTGATTTTATCTACAAAATAAGTGACCATGGGCCCCAAGAAAGCTTCTAGTGCCAACCCTACAGCAATAAGGGTGAGAATTACTATAGAGATGAAGAAAGAGATCATTGATAAGTATGAAAGTGGAGTGCGTGTCGCCGACCTGGCCAGGTTGTACAAGAAACCCAAATCAACCATCGCTACTATTGTGGGCAACAGAAAGGCAATCAAGGAAGCTGTTCTTGCCAAAGGTTTAACTGTGTTTTCGAAACAGAGATCGCAAGTGATGGAAGATATTGAGAGACTCTTATTGGTGTGGATAAATGAAAAACAGCTAGCAGGAGATAGCGTCTCTCAAGCGATCATAAGCGAAAAGGCTAGGAAGTTGCATGAGGATTTAATTAAAAAAATGCCTGCAACTAGTGATGATGTGAGTGAATTTAAGGCCAGCAAAGGTTGGTTTGAGAGATTTAAGAAGCGTAGTGGCATACATAGTGTGATAAGGCATGGTGAGGCTGGCAGTTTGGACCAAAAAGCAGCTGAAAAATATGTGCAGGAATTCAAGGAGTACATAGACAATGAAGAATTGAAACCTGAACAAGTGTTTAATTGTGACACTGACAGTGTTGTGAAACACTTTAGGAATGTCATAAAGGAACGGGAGGTACAGGCCTCTATGGACAGATATGTTGTGCGACAGAGGTCCAGTGACTCTCAAGCTGGTCCTAGTGGCATTAAAAGAAGAAGGGAAGTAACCCTGAAAAAGGACTTGCCACCTCAAGTCCTAATGGAAGGGGATTCCCCTTCTAAACACTCACACCATCAACACACTCCCCTCCTCCCATCCCATCAGTCATCACCAGATCTTCAATAAAGGTAAGTGTCATGTAACTGTGCATGTCTTCTTCAGTTTGTGTGTATTAAAATTAATATTTCATGTGTTAAAATTTTTTTTTTCAATACTTTTGGGTGTCTTGCACGGATTAATTTGATTTCCATTATTTCTTATGGGGAAAATTAACTTGACTAATGATAATTTTGACTAACGATGAGCTCTCAGGAACGGATTAATAGCGTTAGTCGAGGGTCCACTGTACAGTAATTGCAAATTTTTAGTGGATCCTTTGATATTGTAGTAGTAGCTAACATTCAGAACTCAGCAAGAAATAGAAATCTTCTTTCAACAAACCGGCCGTATTCCACCGAGGCAGGGGTGGCCCAAAAAGGAAAACAAAAGTATCTTTAACTTTAGTAATGTATGCAGAAGGGATTACTAGCCCCTTGCTCTCAGCATTTTAGTCGCCTCTTACGACATGCATGACTTAGAGGAAGAATTCTGTTCCACTTCCCCATGGAGATAAGAGGAAATAAACAAGAACAAGAACTAGTAAGAAAATAGAAAAAAACCCAGAGGGGTGTGTGTATATACAGTAGACCCCCGGTTAACGATATTTTTTCACTCCAGAAGTATGTTCAGGTGCCAGTACTGACCGAATTTGTTCCCATAAGGAATGTTGTGAATTAGATTAGTCCATTTCAGACCCCCAAACATACACGTACAAACGCACTTACATAAATACACTTACATAATTGGTCGCATTCGGAAGTGATCGTTATGCGGGGGTCCACTGTATATGCTTGTACATGCATGTGTAGTGTGACCTAAGTGTAAGTAGAAGTAGCAAGATGTACCTGAAATCTTGCATGTTTCTTTTTCTTTCAACAAACCAGCTGTATCCCACCGAAGCAAGGTGGCGCAGAAAGAAAAACAAAAATTTCTCTTTTCAACTTTAGTAATGTATACAGGATAAGGGGTTACTAGCCCCTTGCTCCCAGCATTTTAGTTGCCTCTTACGACACACATGGCTTACAGAGGAATAATTCTTTTCCCCTTCCCCATAGAGATAAGAGGAAACTAGCAATACTACCATCATGTAAAACAATTACAGGCTTGTGATGAATGGTTTTGAAAACTGACAAGTAGAAGAATTGAGACACTTATGCAACATATGGGAATCTTTAGTGAAGAAACGTTTTGCTACACAGTGGCTTCATCAGTCCATTACAGAGCAGGAAGGTATAAGGAGAGGAGGAGTTTGAGGTAATCAGTCCCTCAGCCTGGAATCAATGTGTTCAGTCCATCACCCTTTTAAGAAGTACAGCATAGGACCAGAGAGGTGGCTTATGTACTTCAGTCAGGTGAGTTGAAGGAGGAGGTGGGATCACAGTGGGACCATCCACTAGTGATACAAAGAATTCTTCACAACCTGTCCAACCTTTGGATGAAGACCTACTTACACTAGTGGATGGTCCCACTGTGATCCCGCCGCCGCCTGCTTCGACTCACCTGACTGCAGTACATAAGCCACCTCTCTGGCCCTATGCTGTACTTCTTACAAGAGTGATGGACTGAACACATCGATTCCAGGCTGAGGGGCTGATTACCTCAAACTCCTCCTCCTCTTATACCTTCATGCTTTGTAATGGACTGATGAAGCCACCGTGTGCCTAAATGTTTATTCAATAACAATTCCCATGTGTTGCACAAGCATCTCAATTCTTAAATTACAGGTTTTACACTCACTTGGCAGGATGCTAGCACCTCCCCGGGCAGTTCCTATCTATCAACCTACTACCTAGGAGAAATAGAAAATGTTACAGTATTTAGGAAGTACTTGGTTGTCTCAGGTTTAAATATAGAAGGTGAAAGCATTTTAATAACATGTTGAAGTTTTATTTTTTTTTATGTTGGTTATATTTCAGCCTATTCCTGACAGCGAGGACACTGCCACTGACCAGACCCACCACATCATTGTGCCAAGCTATGCAGCTTGGTTTGACTACAATGCCATTCATGCTATTGAGAAGAGAGGCCTTCCAGAATTTTTCAATGGCAAAAACAAGTCAAAAACGCCTGAAATTTATCTAGCATACAGAAACTTCATGATAGATACTTACAGGTTAGTCACATTTAATATTAAGATATGAAGGATAATTATACTTAACCCTTTCAGGGTCCAGAGGCCAAATTTCAAAGTGTGCACCAGTGTCCAAGAATTTTCAAAAAATTTTGTTATTTTTTCTTATGAAATGGTAGAGAATCTCTTTTTGAAGGTAATAAAACAAAAAGTACGAAATTTAATGGAAAATTGACGAAATTATGCTCTCGCGAGTTTTGATGTGTCAGCGATATTTACGCATCGGTGATTTTGCCGACTTTGACTCCCATTTTAGGCCAGTTACATTATTCCAGTCAACCAAATTCTTAGCTATTTCACTAGTATTACTTCTATCGATTGAGCACAAGAATTTGCCAAGTCAACTGTTTCAACTACAAAATAAAGTGATTGGAAATTGGTAATATGGCCAATTTAATGCAAAGTTCAAAATACTCCAATTTCAAAATAGGGTCCAGAATAAACAATGCAGTCATTCCTGGCACTAAACTAACATTTCCTCTGTTCATTAGTTACGTTTTCAGGCTTTCCTAATCAATACTATTTTGATTTTTTATTCACATAATGAATTTTTATTCACACCAAAAATAGAAGATTTACTGTTATGCAATATTGTAATAATTGTATAAATAATATCACCACATTTGTGAACGTATATTAGACCCACCAACAGGCGTGTATTAGACATGTGAGGTCATTTGTTTACTCTCGAACATCGGCAAAAATTTAACATTACCGCTATTTTGAGCTCAGTTTCAAGCCATTTTCAACACTAAAACCAATCAAAATCATCTCTATGAATAAAATATGTCATTATGTGGACAGCATTGGGGTCGCAAGAGTGGTTGCGCATTCTCGCTATGAAAATGTCAGAGGTGTTATAAGAGAAAACAGAGTTTGTGAGGCTGAATTAGATCTGGTGTACATACGACATTTACATGCCTTAGAAAATGAGACCAAGAAATTGCAGATACAACTGTAAAAAACATAAAAACACTGCAAAGTCGCTGTTTTAATTGAAAATTACGGTCTCAATTTTTTTCTCATTATGCACTATATGCTGCAGGATTTGTTTTGTGTGGTGCACACATACCACGTAGATGTATTCTCTCATATCTAGGCCAAAATTTACCGCTCACAGCTTACCAGAGTGAGCTGAGCTCATGATGTAGATCTACGGTTTGGATCCTCAACGTAAAGCTGTAGATCTACAGCACGGACCCTCAAAGGGTTAATTATAACTGTATTATGATGGAAAAATTTGTATTTCACACTTTGTATTTTTCAGACTAAATCCAACAGAATACTTGACATCCACTGCATGCCGCCGTAACCTTGCTGGAGATGTGTGTGCTGTGATGCGTGTACACGCATTTCTTGAACAGTGGGGGCTCATTAATTACCAGGTAATCTGATCCAGAGAGCAATAATAGTGTAATTATTTTTAAACCTTGTAACAATTCATGAGGAGTACAGTTATTTTACAGCCAGGCAACATCTTTTGAAAGACTAGTGTTGAGGCATTCGTTTCCTGTAATACTGATGTGTGTGGAAAAAGTGCCTCTCCTTTCTCATGAGACAACCTTGTATTTAAACCATTCTCTTTTGCAGTGTCGAGTCAGTTTCTAAATGATCTAAAGAACAAAAAATATTTATTAGTTATTCTAGGTTATATTAGTCATAACTATTTAACTTTCCTCTAAACTTGCATACTGGTTAACTACCAATAAAATATTACATAAATGGGCAGTTAACGTCAGGCAGCACTTTCAAATAACTGTACGGGTGTGGTTAGAACCCATGGCAAGTGAGTTGTAAAACTCCAGGCCAATGCATAAGCCACTGGGTCAGCTGGCCACAATAAGATTCATCCAACTAGTATAGTTCTAACCCCACCTGTACTGTGGTTTGTTTGCAGTCATGTTACACTTCTTAATTCATTTGCAAAGAGTGCAGGTACTTCCATCCAGTAATGTGTAAAACTTCAACGCAGTCCAGAGAATGTTATGACTTGAGCTGCCCAGACCATCATGTAAAAGGAACGCGACACTACAGAGTTAGCAGAGAAAGGGAAATTGAACAGCATTCTTCTTTAGACAAAAAGAGAAAAGATCAAAACAAAGGAAGAGACAAACAGGGGCAATGGTACAGAGAGGACAAGTGGGCAGTAAAATGGGACATACCAAACCAGGCATCAGCCCATCAAGGCCAAATAAGCAAACAAATGTGAAGCCAGTACTGGAGTAACCAGGGGACATACCAGGTAGCACACCACCAGTGGTACTAATGAAACACAAAGCGAGACAAAACATCCCACTTGGTAATTCCTGCTTCATATTTCCAAATATACAGGGTTTGAAATCAAATAAAAATGACATAGTTAACTATGTCAGTGGGCTCCTAACAGAAGCAAATGCCATGTTCGGAGCATTTACAGAAACACACACAAGGGATGTTTTGTACTGGGAGATAAAGATAGAATACTACAACATGTATAGATGTGATAAAATCAATAGTCACAGGGAGGAGTAGGAATCTATGTAAAGAATACTTTCTGTTGCACAGAAGTGCTGAATTCTACGAATGATATAGTAGAAATTCTAGGCATTAAAGTTGAAAATAGGAATTTGGTAATTATCCTAGTATACAAACCACCATCAGCAACTGCTGAGGAATTCACAGATCAGTTAAGTAAGATAGATAGCTATCTGGATAGACTAGAAAATTCTACACCAAATATTTTGCTCCTTGGAGATTTTAATCTCCCTCATGTAAAATGAAAGATGGCACAATGCAATGTTATACCAGAAATATCTCTGGGAAACACCCTGGCTCAACAGGCACACACCAGGGAACTAATGAGGCTTTGTGAAAAGTACTCTTTAAACCAGCAGATAATTGATCCCTCCAGAAATGAAAATACCCTGAATTTGATATTCAAGAACAACAAGGAACTAATCAGAGACATAACAATTTCCAAAACTATTTACTCTGATCATAACATCATAGAGGTTCAGACTAGTATTAACTTGGGTAGTAAACTGCATCACTAAAGTTAGAGACGGGATGTTCAGTAAGTTTAATTTTAACAACCATAGAATTGACTGGGGAAAAAATAAACCAAGAGCTATCAGATATATCCTGGGAATCAGACATGAGCAACCTAAATCACCACCAGTGCCTAGAGAAGCTGAATACAGAAGCATACAAAGTATGTATGAAACATGTACCATTGAGGAAACCCAGAAGAAGATCAGATATAGAGAGAGAGCATAGAAGATGGTACAGAAGAAGAAAATGGGTTACTGAACTGCTTAAAAGCACAAATATGCTACAACAGAGGAAATATAGACTTAGCAGAGAGATCACTGAATTAGAGCAAAAACTTAGGATGTCATACCTCACAGAAAAAGTACAAAGGGAACAAAGGGCCATACAGGATATTGAAAAAAAAAAAAAAAAATTTCTATTCCTAGGCAAAATCCAAGCTAAGAACTACCTGTAGAATTGGACCACTACTGAGAGGAGACTCGTATACTGACGACGAACAGGAAATGAGTGAAATCTTAAAAGAACAGTATGAGTCAGTGTTCAGCAGCCCACTAAATGACAGCAAGGTAGAAAATGCAGAAATATTTTTCACTCCAGAAGAAGGTCGCACAGACCAACTAACTGACATTAGTACAAATCCCATAGATTTTGAAAAAGAAATGGAAAACATGCCCACTCACTCAGCACCTGGACCAGATTCATGGAATGCTCTATTTATAAAGAAGTGCAAAGTACCACTAGCACGAGCCCTCAGTATTCTTTGGAGAAAGAGCTTAGATCTAGGTGAAATACCGGAGGCCTTAAAGAGTGCAGACATAGCTCCTTTGCATTAGGGAGGTAGTAGAGCACTAGCTAAAAATTACAGATCAGTAGCCCTAACCTCCCACATCATAAAAATCTTTGAAAGAGTGATGAGACGGCAGTTTACAAATTTCATGGACCAGCACAACCAACATAACCCGAACCAGCATGGTTTTAGAGCAGGACGACCATGTCTGTCACAGCTGCTGAACCATTATGACAGAATTACGGAGGCACTGGAAGACGACCAAAACGCAGATGTGATTTACACAGATTTTGCAAAGGCATTTGACAAATGCGATTGTGGAGTGATAGCACACAAAATGAAGGCCATGGGCCTTACGGGGAAGGTAGGCAGATGGATTTTCGGTTTCCTAACACACAACACAAAAAGTAGTAGTGAACAGGGCAAGATCCAGCATCAGCGAGGTCGAAAGCTCAGTGCCCCAAGGCACTGTCCTGGCACCTCTGCTGTTCCTCATCCTCATAGCAGACATAGACAAAAACACCCTGCACACTTTTGTATCATCATTTGCAGATGACACTAAAATAAGCATGAAAGTCAGTATGGTAGAGGACACTGAAAAAGTACAGGAAGACATAAACAGGGTTTTCTAGTAGGCAGTGGAGAACAACATGACGTTCAGTGGTAATAAGTTCCAGCTGCTTAGGTATGGAAAGAATGAAGAACTCAAAAGGAGCACTATATACAAAACTCAAGGGGGTCACCAAATAGAACGTAAGGAACATGTAAAAGGCCTAGGAATAATTATGTCAGCGGATCTTTCTTTTAAAGACCTTAACAAGACAAAGATCACGACAGCCAGGAATATGATGGGGTGGGTATTGAGAACTTTCAGAACAAGGGAAATAATGCTGATGGTGACACTCTTCAAATTGCTAGTGCTCCCTCACTTGGAATATTGCTCAGTGCTGACGGCCCTGTTCAAGGCAGGAGAAATGTCGGAGCTGGAACAAATACAGAGATTGTTTACAGCTCACATTGAGCCAGTAAAGCACCTAAACTACTGGGAACGCCTGCAAGTCTTGAACATGTACTCATTGGAGCGGAGGAGAGAGAGGTACATGATAATATATACCTGGAAGGTACTCGAGGGCTTGGTCCCAAATCTGCAAACTGCCATAACAACATACTGGAGTGAGAGATATGGGAGGAAGTGTAAAATAAACCCATTGAGGAGCAGGGGTGCAGTGGGGACAATAAGGGAACACTGTATCAACATCTGGGGTCCCAGACTTTTCAAAATCGTACCAGAAGATATCAGAAACACTGCTGGAACAAGTGTAGAAACTTTCATGAGGAAACTAGACAAGTTTCTTCACCAGGTGCCAGATCAACCAGGCTGTGATGGATATGTGGGGCAGTGGGCTTCCAGCAGCAACAGCCTGGTTGACCAGGCAAGCACCAGACAAGCCTGGCCCATGGCCGGGCTCAAAGAGTAGATAAACTCTCGAAATTCTTCAAAGGTATATAAGATATCACCCATTTACTGATTTCAACTATCTAATAAAGTGGTCAGAAATTGGCAATTTTGCCAATTTCACACAAATTTCAAATGATGCCAATTTCCAAATAGGGTTCAGAATAAACCAGACAGACATTCCTGGCACTAAAATAACATTTTCTCTGTTCATTAGTCATGTCCCCAGGCCCTTCTTACATTTCTTTTGCTTTCCACTTTGAATTTTTATTCTCGCAAAAAAATAGAAGATTTACTGTTATGCAGACTACTGTATTAATGTAGAAATGGTATAAATAATATCAGCGCACTTGTGAAAGAATATCAGACTCACCAGTTGACGTGTATTGGACGCATGGCATGATTTGTTTACTTTTGAACTTTGGCAAAAATTGAACATTTCTGCTACTTTGAGCTCAATATCAAGGTACTTTTCTTTGTGAAACCAATCAAAATCATCTCAATTTCTGTAATATGTCTTCCATTATATAAAATGAGACCAGGAAAACTAGAATAAAACCATAAATAGCATACGAAAATACACTGCAAAATCTCTGTTTTAACCCTTTGACTGTTTCAGGCCCCTCTCTGAAACTGTCATTCTATGTCGCCAAATATTCAAAAAAAAAAAAAATTATTTTTTCTTATGAAAATGTTAAGATTATTTTTCTGAGTGTTTTAGTCCAAAAAAAAAAATTTTTGCCATCGGTACTTACCGAGATATAGAGCCGTGAAGTTTGCAGAAAATGAGCCGCGTATGGCAACAGCGGCGACTGCCGCTCACCCGGTAAACTTTAGTTTACTTGTAATTGAAGGTTTTTGTTTTTTCACTATTTATTTTTTCACATACTTGTGGCCTAGAGACCAAAGTAAGGTGCAATGGGATTTATATAACTAGTTGTTACACACAAAAAGCACACAAACATAATTTTCAAAATATAGTTTACAAAACTTGTTACAAAAACAAAAACAAACAACCCTCCCCTCCTCCTCCTCCTCCTTCTCATCCTCCTTCTCCTTCTCCTCCTTCTCCTTCTCCTTTCCCCCTCCCTCCTTCTCCTCCTTCTCCTTTC